GTACCTTGTTTCAGTGCCCAACAAGGTTTTGCTAACATAAAAGATAGGCAGGTGTTGGATTCCTTCCGCTTTGATTAACACTACGCTGACTATATGCCGTGAAACCACTAAGTACAAAAAGAGCTCTTCTCCTAGCACCGGGGTTACTAACAATGGAGGAGAGGTCATGTAGTCTTTCAAGCTCTCTAGGGCGTGATTGCATTCCTCATCCCACTTAAATTTGGCCTTCAATGCTTGGAAGAATGGTCGACATTTGTCTGACGACCGACTTATGAACCGGTTGAGCGCGCCTGCTAGGCTAATGAGATGTTGTACCTCTTTGACTGTGTTGGGCCTCTCAAGATCTTGGATTGCTTTGATCTGAGAGGGATCAGCTTCTTGACCCCGGTTGGTTACTAGAAAGCCTGGGAATTTGCCTGATCCTACGTCGAATGCACACTTAGATGCGTTTAGACGCAACTTGTGAGACTTCAAAATTTGGAACATTTCATCTAGGTCCCTGAGATGGTCCTTCTCATCCTTGCTTTTGACCACCATGTCATCTATGTAAGCCTCCATTGTTCTGCCTAACAATGGTTCAAACATTTTGGTGACCACCCGTTGGAATGTAGCCCTTGCGTTTTTTAGGTCAAAGGGCATGACCTTGTAACAGTACAACCCTCTTGGCGTTGTAAATGATGTGACCTCCTGGTCTGGTTCATACATAGCGATCTGATGGTAACCTCGATACGCATCAAGGAAGCTAAGTCGGTTATGTCCTGCTGTCAGGTCCATCTGTTGGTCTATCCGTGGTAGGGGAAAACTGTTCTTTGGGCATGCCTTGTTGACTGTTTTGTAGTCTGCGCAAACACGCCATTTTCCATTCTTCTTTGGCACTACTACAATATTATAGATCCACTTGGGATAGTGTACTTCTCTGATGGCACCTGCCTCCACCAAGTTTCCCACTTCCTCCGCCACTATCTCCGCCTGATGGAGTACTGATCTGCGAGTGCGCTGTATAATTGGTTTGGCAGTTGGGTGGACATTAAGTTGATGGCAGATGAATTTTGGGTCAATGTCAGGCATGTCGTATGGTGTCCAAGCAAACACTTCGTTGTTAGAGGTTAAGAATTTCATAACCTCTATTCTCTCAGTGCTGGACAAAGACGAGCCGAGCAAAAAGAACCTTTCTAGGTTCTTTTCATCTATCCTTACCTCAACCAAGTCTTCCACTGCCTTCTACTCTGCAGCTTTGCTGACATCTACAAACAATTCATTACTTTCTGGCTCCTCCACCATCTGAACGAACCCTTTTGCAGCACGGCTGTCGTTTACTATGACGAAACACTGCTTCGACATGATTTGGTCTCCTAAGACTTCTTCAATCAGGCCGGTTTCGTTAGAGAATCGTAATGCCTACTGGTAGGTTGACACCACCGAGTGCATGGCATGCAGCCATGCTCTTTCCAAGATTATGTTGTAAGTGAAAGGAACCTTCAATACCCAGAATTCCACCTGTTTTGTCATGGTTCCTGCTTTGACTGGGAGGATTATCTTGCCCACTGGCCACTCTGGTATTGAGTTGAAACTGACAAAAGGAGATATCGCAGGTGCCAAGTCTTTGTCCTCCAATTTCAGTTGTTTGAAGGTCTCGTAGTACATTATCTCGCATGAGCTTTCTTGGTCAATCAAGATCCGCTTAATGTCGAAGTTCTTGACGTGCAAAGTGACCACCAGTGCGTCATTGTAAGGGCAATGTGGCCTTGCTAGGTCCCTGTCTGAAAAGGATACGACGTTCGTGGCCTCTGTTCTGCCCTTTTTGATGGGGAGTTATGCACTTAATACCTCTCTCAAGTGCTCAGCCTTTTTGATCATCCCCCTGAGCTCACATACCCGCTCAGGTTCGACGATCCCATGTATAACGTTGATTACGCCTTGGGGTGGACCATCGACCGGCATCCCGTTTGGTCTATTGAGGCCCTGTAGGGCTGGCTATGTTCCCCCTTCTATGTACTGGAGTCCAGGTGTCCAGCAGCCACTAACTCCTCCAGATGTTGCCTCAATGGTGTGCAATTTTCAGTGCGGTGCCCTTTCTCATCATGGAAGGTGCAACGGGACCTCTCATCATAGCATTTTTGGGCTTCTTCCAACTTGGCTGGCTGCCGAACGAAGGGTTGATCCCGTATCTCGCTAAGAATCCAGTAAATAGGTTTGTTGAATACTGTGGTAATGGCAGTGCGGACTCTTAACTTCCTCGTTTCTAGGTCCTCTCTGTTGGCTCATTTGCCTTGCCTATTCCTGCTTGGTTGTTCTACCGTGTTGATTTTTGCTGAAGTCTTTTTGTCTGGCATCGCTGTTGTGCCAGATTTTGCTTTAGCACGGGCACTATCTTCCTCTACCCGGATATGTTGATGCACCCTCTCCATTAGGGCCTCCATCGTGAGGGGTGACATCATTGTCATTGAGTCCCTCAATTTGTTACTGACCGGTAAACCCCGTTTGTATTGTGCGATGGCGAGATTTGTAGGGCAATCCCTAATCTGGTTGAAAGTCTCCCAATAGCGACTGTTGTAAGACCTCAATGTCTCATTTTTGCCCATGTCAATGGAGTGTAGTTGTTCAATCTCCACTGGTGTCTTGGTATTCGTTCTGAATCTAGTCATGAACGTTTCTGCCAACTGTGCCCATGAGGCTATGCTACCTTCTGGTAGTCTTTCGAACCAGGTTAGACTTAGGTTGCCAAGGCTGGAAGGAAATAGGATACATATTGGGGCCTCGTTTCACCGGTATACTGCCATAACCTAGCGAAAGTGGCTTAAGTGCATGTAGGGGTCTGATTTTCCTTTATATGTAGTGAATTTGGGTTGGTGGAAGCCTGAGGGTAGTGGTGTGTTCTCAATTGCCGGAACGAACGATGAGCTGTGTAACCTTGCTAATACTTTATCCGTTGGTTCGTAAGCGAGGCGTGGTATTGGCATCCCTACCTCGACATTCTAATGTGTCCTAGGGGCTAATCGTTGTAGGGTTGAAACTCTGTGAGGGTCGCGAGCCCTGGTGTCCTCCTTCCATCGAGCTTTCTCCTCGAGCACTGTTCGCAGGTCCGCTGACCTAGGCAACTCCGTGTGCCTAGATGTCGTTTGGTGCGTGTGCGAGGGCCGATAGCCGCTTCTCTCTTTATACGACCATTCAGTCCTTGTTCTCTCAAGCCTGGAGTAACGAGTCCTGGAAGTCCGTGATTGAGTGTCGCATGTTCTAAGGCTTCTACTTCCTGCTTGTGATGGTGTGACATGTCTGTCATGATCTTCCGACTGGTAAGGGGGCGTATGGCCTTTGTGCCTCTCTTCTGTCGCCACTCATTTTTCCTTGATTTGGCACTTCATTGTCTCCATGTCTGCCGCCATCCTCCTTATTAACTCGTCTTGCTCCTTCACGCGATCTTCCAGAACTTGGGGATTCAACCTCCACCTCTGTCTTTCAAGACTTTGAGAGCAACAGGGACTAGTGCCCCGTCTCTCCCGTGTGTCCCTTCGGGAGTTCCGTCGCTGGGGTTCTAATTCTGCCATGGGTGGGATAGATGGTAAAGCTTCGCGCCTACCACCCCCATCCGGGGTTTGCCCATCAATAGCAGATTGCGGCAATTCCTCATTCTGCGCCATTGATTTCAACTGGAGAAGAAGACTCAATCAAAAGGTTTTGTTCTTTGTGCAATTCCCATAGATGACGCCAATTGTACGAGCACGAAATAATCTTCTCGTATAATCCTATTGATCAAGTTTGCGCTCCTCCAAATGTCGTCGCTTTACTTCCTAAAAACACAAACGTAAGCTAGCCGGCGGGTGTGTACCGGATACCTCTCTGATGCCTAAGTCAGCAAATAGGCAATAGACAAAAGCTCTGTGTATTTGAGAGTCAAAATTATGATACCTATACATAGGTCCTGTTACGAGCTTTTATAGATTCCGTGTGGCACAATCCTAGTAGGACTCCTATCCTCCAATGTAGAGTCCTCCTAGGAATCACATTTCTAAAAGATAATGCTTATCCTTTAACATCTTCTTCTCTGTCTATCAAAATGAGATAATGGCAACTCCTACTTCGGTTGGCACAAAGCATAGCCGTGCTCACACAGCTCGGTGCTGAACTAGCTAACCTCAACCAACTGGTCTCAGGAGTTGCTCTGCCGAGCTATCTTTAGCTCGGTTTAACTTAAGTAAGCACCTTAGCTGCGACCGCTAGACCGGACTCTAAAAGCGAAGCCTGGACCGAACTATCATGACCAAAGATTCCGAAATAATCACTTTAGTCCATGGTTTGGCCCCTGAATACACCAATCTCGGCTCAGTCTCACGGGGCTTACTTATCTCGGCCCAATTTGTGTACAAATTACCCTCTCATATATATATATATATACAGAAAGAAGAAGCCTATGATTTCATTTTCTTCTATATCTAATAACGATCCTGCTGGAGACCCCCAGCAGGAGAGACCCCCAGCACCCCTACCTCCACGTGGGGGGCTGGTAATGGCTGAAAATCAAAAAAAAAAAAACAATTTTTTGGGCCAATAGGAAGAGACCCCCAGTACCCCCACTGGGGGTCTCAGGCATTTTCCATCTAATAATCAAGAACCCTTTGGGTGGAGAAGTTATTTGGTGTTCTTGGATTTGGATTTGGGTGTGTATTTGTGTTGAGTAATGCTCGTGTGTGTTTTCTGATCTCTAATCATTCTATATCTATATAATAAGGAAGGTCAGTTTTTTTTTCTTGATGGGACTTCTATCCGTGTGTCAAAATATTAACCATTGGATTGAACTTAATCCAAGAGCTCAGAGTGTTATACTCCACTTTCAACCCACACCCCCTCTCTCTCTCACTCTCACTCTCATCTCTTTGTTTCTGGTTTCTGATTTCAAAAATCAGACCCCCATTTTCTCTCTCTCTCTCCATTAGACGTGCAACACATTTTGAAATCAGTTGATGGTAGAGTGTGGTAAAAGGTTTGGGGACTAGGGTTTCGACAGCCTCCAAACTGTCGAGACTCTTCCTCTCAAAACTCTCGCTTCCTCCTCAGCGCCAAACATCTCATCTCCATCGGTTTCCAGGTGACTCAACAATTCTTCGTTTCAATCCAATCATTCCTGTGAATTTTAATGCATATATGTGTGTAAATCTGGTTATATATGTGCCTTAATTTTCTGTTTATGCTATTTGATCTGCTTCTGTTTTGTTAATCCTTTTGTTTCTATTAATTTGATTGGAGATCTATTGGTTTTGTGGAATGAGTTTGATTTTTATGAGTTTGATTTTTATATATCCATTGGTTAATTTCATATATATATCCATTGGTTTTGTTTCTATTTGATTTTTATGAGATCTATTAATTTCATATATATATCCATCGGTTTCCAGGTGACTCAACACTTCCCGTTTTGCAGATTTGCTGGGTATTATGAGTTTGATTTTTATTGGCATTTTATTTTTGTTTTTCTGATTTGTTGATGTGCCTTTGTTGGATTTTTTTTTAAAAGATTAAAAGATTTAAAAAAAAAAGAAAAAAGAAAAAGTAAATGGGCTTTTTTGTTTGGTTTGCAATAATTGACAGCTATCTGAAGTGTAGAGTCATGATTGCACATAATTGTTGTTTGGTACTGTTCTGGGATTTCAGTGCCTGGATTGTAAAAAAGTGTAGAATCATCGTAGCCCATAATGGTTTTTGGGTAATTTCTATGGGGATTACTCGATAAAATCTGGTACTGATTCAACCATTTAATTTAACTTCTGGTAATTTTAAATCTAATCTATACCTTCAATTAGCTTTAAGGCTTAGGAGGATATATACGCATAAATACACATATATGTATATGTGAAATTGTAGATGCGGACACACATGGATTCAATCAAAAGTGGAGCTCTTTGTATTGGTTCTATGATGCATTAGGGGTTTGTGTGTGGTTGCCTCAAATGCAAATCATGTATATAAATTAAACTATTAAATGTGTATGGATGACCCGAATGAATGTGAATGTGATTATATACATAATTTTATATATGATTATATATGATTCAGAGATTCGGGGGCCGAATGATTCCAATATGTATGTATATATCTATATATATATGATTCCAAACCCCCTGTATATATATGATTCCAAACCCTAAACCCCCTATTTATGTATGATTTTAGTATGTATATCTATATAATAAGGGAGAAAGGTTTTTGAATCTTGATAGGACTTTGGTCTATGTGTCAAAATATGTACCATTAAATTGATTCAATCCAATGGTTGAAAATGTCTCACTTCTATTTGGACTTTTGTCCCTTTATCAAAATATAGACCATTAGATTCATTCAATCCAAAGGCTGAAAATTCAATTCAAAATGTAATGTAATCACCCTCTCCTTCTCTCCCTCACCCACACCCCTCTCATCTCTTTCTGATTTCAAAATTTGAACACACGTCTCTCTCTCTGTCTCTCCATGGGAGATGTTTCTGCAAGAGAATTGCAATATCTATTTTTCTCCAGCTCACAGCACGTGCACACCATTCAGTTGTGTTTCCCCCCCCCCTCCTCAGGTGCTCCTTCTACTGTTTTGAATTTTTGAAATCCAGTAGAACCTCAGTTGTTTTCTGGTGATTCTATCCCCCTCTGTTAAATCAAAAATTAATTTCTGTTCAATCAAAGAAATATGAAAATTTCAGGGTTATTTTAGTTGTTTTCAAGGTGTGATGTGAATATATTGTGGTATTGAATAAATTTGGCCCTTTTAAAGTTTTTTAAGTTGTCCTTTTCATTCTTTTTATTTGTAATAATCTGGAAAATGTAGTTTAACTTTGTTTTAGTGTGTATTGTTTGCTCTGTTTTGGTTTTAGTTGGTGAAATTTGTCCTCAGCTTAAGAAGGTCTTGATGGAATTGGTTTGGGAAAAGTTTCATTTGAAGTTAGAGTTTTGAATTGGTTTCATCTAAGTACTTTTTAACTGTTGACAATGTAATGTTCAAGGTACCTTTAATTTTGAACTTTTTTTTTTTAAAATAAAAAAAAAGAAGCTTTATTTAATCTTTTATTTGTTACTGACACGAAACTGAACGCTATTCTCTTCCAACAGACACTTCCTTGTTATTTTTCAACTGCAGGCCTCTGGAACTGTGTGCCAAGGTGAATCATCACCATTGATTTTTATTGTGGTATGATATTCAACAGACACTTCCCATCTATTGGATGCTTTGGAATATGCATACCATATCTCTTACATTTTGTTAGTTTGGCTGAGGTCATTCCAAACTTTAGATCCAACGGTTAAATAGATAAGTTAGACAATGTGTTGTTGCCTAGACTTTTGTTTCTGAGATAAGTCACCCTCACCAACTAGCTAATGATGAACTGTGAAGTCCATAAACTACTATGTCAATTAACTCTCAGTTAAATAAAACTAGAAGTATTTTGTTTGTTGTTCTTCTCTCATTTGGCATTGCCATTGCCTAATAAAATAAGCAACCATCATAATGTGAGTAGAATATATAGAACTTAGGATAACAACCATATCAATACATTCTTTCTCTATATTTTTGTGTGTGTAGAAAAAGACATCATGCTGCATTTTGTAAGTTGTTGGTGAGGCAGAGAGGGTGTGCGGTAGAGGAGGGAAAGACAAAGAAGGTGGTGGCAATGTGATGGGGGAATAAATTTGAAAAAAACCAAATATTTAGTTTTAGAGAAAATTCTATATAACAAGGAAGGGTAGTATTTGATCCAGTGATTAGGATTGTTTCTCCCTTTCATCCACGGTCCATTTCTGACACTGATTTTGAAAATGTATTTGCCCTATGTGGCAATTTGGATTGTCTAGATTAATTTAATCCAATGGTCTATTTTTTACACTCCACCCATCTCAGATTCTAGATATCTCTCAACCCCTTCTAATTTTTGCTTTCACTATTTTTGTGCCTCTTTCATTACATAATGAGCTTTTTCTTTTTTGGTTTTTTCCTTTTCCCATTATGCCAACTAATAGATCTCTAAAAACATTTCTATTTTCAACTCATGCTGTGATGAGATCTTTATGTGCCTTCGTTTTCTAATTTGATTTTGATTTGGTGTATGTTTACAATTCTATTTTGGGTTTGTTTTTAAACATTTGTATTCCTAGCAGTGTTGTTTAGATCATATGAGGGCTCCTTTATTTAGATTTGTATTTGTCTGCTTGCTTTTCTTGTCTTTTATTTATTTTTTTTATTCTTTGTTTTGGACGTTGTTGTTAACCATTTAGAGTGAACCTTTTTTTGGGTGAATATTTAGAGAACTTTGTTGCATTAATATCCTTAATTTGATTTTCTTGAGAAAATTGAATCTTTGAGGACTGTTGAGGTTTAAAAATGGAGTGTGAGGCTAATAGTGAGTTTAAGGAATATCAGATGTTGATAATTTACGCTTCATTTTGGTTGGGGAGTGCCTTTAGGCACAGGTCCTTCGCTAGATTAGTTTAAGGACTATTTTGATATATTCTTCTTTTGATAATTTACGCATCTTTCTTTCTTATTTTTTCTTTTTTGGTGAGATGCTAAATTTTTTATTTAGTAACAAAAGTTTTTTTTTTTTTTTTTAAAAGAGGTTCAACAACTTTCAAAGTGTTGACATTGCAATTTTTTTTTAGTCCCAGGATGGTTCTTGAATAAAATTCTTATCAACTGGTATGGTTCTTGAATTTTTATTTATTTATTTATTTAACAATTCAAATATTAGTATGATTCAAGACTATAAAACAATTTATGCTTCATAATATTAGTATTGTTGTTAAACTTTTACTTTATGTTACCTATAGGTTGTGTTTTGTCAAGTTTATATGTGGCTCATAAGCTGATTTTTTGACTTATTACGAAAAAATGTATAGATAGTAGAGAGGTGGTGTGATCCGAATAAGCCAATAAGTCAATGTTTTGGCTTTTGTAGATTTTGTGAATGATTTGATTTCTTAGTTTTGTTATCCCTTTGGGGGCTGATTTTTTGTATTCTTTGCATCATCTTGATATTTTTTAATAAAGTCTGCTTATTTATGAAGTAGAGAAAAAAAAATCATGCTGAAAGCTCCTCATGTTCAAATAATTGAATGCAACATTGTGGTCTTTTCTTAATTCCGACACTGATACATACTTAGGAATGTAGTAATAGGTGTAATATCAGTTTTGCCATGAACTACTGGATTTGTTATGTTCATCACAAACAAAAAATTTAAATTTGTTCTCGCATGCAGGATTTTCTTTTTTTTTTTTGGTTTGCATATTCTGGATTTGTCTTCCAATGAAAAGCTAGATAAGTGAATATTGACCCAAGGGCACAACAAGATGGTGGCTTTGATGGCCATGGATCTCATGGATTTTTTTAATTAGTTTAAATACATTCGTAATTTCTAAGCTAATTTCTTTTAATGGGATTAAGTGAGAAACATGGGATAATGTACTATTAATGATTGTGTAAGATCTTAGATTTGAAATATGCAAGTAGTCTCATCACTGTCTAATGAAATCATGCATGATGTAATCAATAATTTTGTTTAATTGACTTTTACTTCAGTGCCTATTTATTTATTTAACATGCTTACTTCAATTAACTTTTCTTATGTGGCTTTATGTGAACAAGCTGTAAAGGTTCTTCAGATCAGGGAAGTCGAAGGAATTGAACTAATCTTTTATAATACTAATTCACAGATTGTAGTGATGGATGCATTTGGTAATTCTCGAAGGCATTTGGAAGTATTGTCCTTTTTTTTAAACTCTACGGATGTAAAAGGAAGTGCAAGACTTCATATTGCTTTTCCTATTTAGTTCTATAATACTCCATTACAACTAAGGCAAATTTTTTTGGAGAGAATTAACCAATTATCTACAATACACTTTCATACTTATGAAGGTGAGGAACCTTGACTAGGCATCCTGTTTTTTTAGTTTTAATACAATAGTTTGTTTTGCCTCTTAGCTTTTGTTGGCAACAATCAGTTTCGATTGTTTGGATTTTCTTAAGTGTTAAATTTTTTTAATGGTTATTTTTTTTAAATGGGGAGGGGGGGGGTTAGCCTTCTAAGGAATCATGTATTTTGATCACATACTTATGAATGTGATAATTGCTGTTATTTAGTTTGATAATTGCGGGTAAATTGGGGAAGACACTGGTGCTTTTATCAAGAAGAGTTATGTTAGAAATTTTTTTATGTTCAATTTCTCTTAATTCATAATTATTGATTTTCCTGTAACGCCCTCAAAACACACCCATTATATATATCATTGACATGCATTGTTTAAAGAGAACACTTTAATAATTCATTATAATATCCATCAGAGTCTTACAAAAACAAAAGCATTACATGTATCATCAAAGTAAATGCCCTACCGACTTACATCTTTCCAAGCCAACACTTGGACACAAAGTATGAGTTCTAACTCAAATATAAATAAAGCCCTAGGCTTGAGTGTTTACATGTATTAACAATGAAAAAAAAACAAATAACTAAAAGTAGTCTTCCAGAATCCAAGTCCTTCCAAGCTAAGTCCTTGGAGGTAGCTTATCACCTGAACCTGAAAATGATGTTCCCATAAAGGGTGAGCCACAGCCCAGTAGAAATATACTAAACCACATATAAGCAATGAATAAAGCAATAGCATTCAACAGATGGTTAACCAAGATAATCAATTACTTCATTTTACAGTCTCACGACACTATTGCCAAAGATACGTTTTACTTTCCAATTTAATCAACATGGTTCAGAACCTGGCCAAACTTATAACAGTGAATCACATATATCATATTCACATCCTTCCAATATCAACAAACAAATGAGACTCAAGCTCAAATCAAACACTTCATACTTCCAAGATTGATACACATAATTTCTAGCGTTACAGAAAAGAATAAACGAGTAGCTTTGATTCTCTCATAAAAAATAAAAAATAAAAATTAAACAAATTTGACTTGTTTTTAAGTTGAGACTTTTAAATTTTATTTTAGGATGGGGTGTGGTCTTGTGTGGGTTTGCGAAGCCAAGCCAAGTTAATACACCTACATCAATGTTTATGTGTGGATGTGTGGGGGGTTTGTGAAGCCAATTTTTATCTTGCGGTTTCATTGGTTTTTCTTGATGGGTTAGGTTTATATTCAGTTCACACCGTAGGGAATTATTGAGTTTTGTGGGGTTTATCATGGATTTATTTTAAAATTTTGAATTGTTTATTTTTTTATCACTGCATGTCGAGGTAGGTCTGTCAACTTTATTTTTTTTGATCACTGCATGTCGAGGTGAGATTGTGTGTATCCTGACTAATTTTAGAGTCTTAAAATTAACAATTAAACAAACTTTTAGTAACTTGTTAGAATGACTCAAACTTGACCTTAATATTTTGTTTTTAATTAGGAGATTTGAGAAGGGATTCGAAAAAGAAAAGTAAAAAAAGTATGTGAATTAGATAAAATATAGGTATATTTTATTCATATTTCACCTATCTTTTCATTTTTGTTGGTTTTGCATCAGGTATGGTGGCGGAGATTGTGTATGGTCTGGGTTGTCAGTGTATGATCTGGGTTGTGCTGTCAGTGTATGTTCTGTTTCTGTTTCTGTTTTGAGAGTTTATCTGGTTATGCTGATTTGTTACCTGTTATCTGATCTGTGCTGATCTTGATTTTGCTGATCTTGCTTGTGATTTATGTGAATGTATCAGGGTTGGCCATCTATCAATTGCTAATGTTTTAGTCATTGTTCATGGTTGGTTTAGTATATTTCTACTGGGCTGTGGCTCACCCTATATGGGAATATCATTTTCAGGTGCAGGTAGCATGCCACCTCCAAGGACATAGCTTGGAAGGCTAGAGGCGGACACACTGTTGTCGTTTTACTTTTTGATGTATTGCATGTAAATTCAAACCAAGGGCTTAATGTGTACGAGTTAGTACTCTTTTGTTGTAACCAAGTGTTAACTTGGAAAGCTGTAAGCCCGTAGGGCATTTGTTTTGATGTTAACATGTAATACTTACGTAACCGGAACTCTAATGAATAAAAGAATGTGGTTAGTTTATATGTAAATGCATGTCTTATCTGATGGGTTTAATGTTGTTATTTTGAGGGCGTTACAAGTTATGTTAGAAATTTTTTTATGTTCAATTTCTCTTAATTCATAATTATTGATTTTCCTGTTTCTCATAAATATTTTGAATGAGTTTTCCTGTTATGATTTCTTTTTGCTAATCTTTTAAAGTCGAATTCAAGTGTTGGAGTGATTTGTTACAGGTGACTGATCAACATTAGAA